CAGTCCTCAGTGTGGGGAGAGGGCTCTGCAGTCAAGATAACCCTAATGAATTTCAACCGCCACACATGGCTGTAGGACCTGGCTGTTTCATAGCTCCTCACTCCTACCAGTCCCAAGGTGACCTCCTGTGTATGTCCCCAGTTGTAGGATTTCTGTTCAGCCAGATCTCAGGTGTTTCTCAGTGATGGCTGCTCTGTAGTTTTGTGATACTTTTGATGTAATAACGAGAGGAAGCGTACACAGCATCTACCTTCTACACCATCTTGACCAGTCCTCTCCACAGTTTTTATTTTGTTCCATTTATCTATTTGCCTGTCTTCACACCATTATCACAGTGCCTTAATTACTATGGCTTACATTAAGAATCAATAATAATTCTTAACCTTGTTCATCGTCATGGATGTCTTGGCTATTTTGAGCCCTTTAAATTTCTAGGTATATTTTAAAATTAATTCATCAATTTCTACAAATTATCTACTGGAAATTTGATTTGGACCGCATCATATTTATAAGCAAATTGGAGAGAAAGGACATATTGACTATATTGATTCTTCCAATATAGTGTATCCCACCATTTATTTCGGTTTTTATATTTCTCTTAAAAACATTTTATGGCATTCTACATGGAGGTTTTTAGATTTATTTTTGTTGTTGTTTTTGCTACTATAATTAGTATTATTTAAATTTTTTTTTCTATAAATATATGTAGATAAATTGATTTTTGTTGACCTTGTATCTAGAAATCTTGTTAAACTCATTTATTATTATAATAATTTGCAGATTCTTTTGGATTTTCTACATGTATAAAAATCTGCAAATAGTTTTTGATGTTCGTGCTTTTATTTCTTATTCTTCCTGTTGCACTAGAAACTCCAGTACAGTGTGGGGAACAGAAGAGGTGATGGAGACCCCTTCTCATTCCTATTTTCAGAGAGAAAGACTTTATTTAATATGTCACGATTTGATAAGATTTTTCTATAGTTTCTTTTTGTAGCTACTCTTTATAATAAAGAAATGTTCCCTATTTTTTGCTTTTGCTACAGATTTAAATCATAAGTGATGTTGAATTTTATCAAATGCTTTTTCTGAAGCTATTTATGATCATATATTTTGTTTATTATTCTCATAATGTGGGGAATTATATTGTCTGGTTTTGAAATATAGAATCAAACTTGCATGGCTGAAATAAACCCAATTTGGTCAAGGTGTATTATTCTTTTAATATATTGCTCAATTTGATTTGCTAAAGTTTTGTGCAGGATTTTTCCATTTGTGTTCATAAGCAAAATTAGTCTATACATTTTCTTTCTTGAAATGCCTTCCTCATGTTTACAGCCATAACACTCTGAACATGCCCAATCTTGTCTGAAATGCCTTTCTCAGGTTTTAGTATCAAGATTATGCTGACCAGTCTGGAGTTGTTCCGTCTTTTATCATTCTCTGGAAAAGTTTCTATAAATTGGCATTATATATTCACTAATAAATTTAGTATTAATATTTGTTTGAATTCACTGATAATGATACTTAGTCCTAGAGATTTCCTCGCGGTAAGATTTTAAATGATGGATTCAATTTCTTTAATAGTTATAGGGTTATTCGGAGTTTTGTTTTGTTTTGTTTTACATCCATTTTGATAAACTGTATTTGTCTAAACATTTGTCAGTTTAATCTAAATTTTCAAATATATTGACAAAGTTGTTCATGATAATCTTTTATATTTTAAAATTCTGCATGATCTGTAGTAAATTTTGCTTTTTTATTCTGTTTTTTTCTGTGATCTGCTTCACCAGATGTTTATCAATTTTTATTAATCTTTGCAAAAAATGAACTTTGCCTTGTTGATCTCTCTGGTATATTTTTCTTTTTCATTTATATTGTTTATTATTTCCTTCCATATACTTATTTTTTTCAGCTTCAATTTTTTTAATAGGTTCGATTTATACATTACTGAGATAAATGATTAATATAGACCTTTTCATATCTGTTTTTTCATTAATCAGACTTGTTAAAAAATGAAAACTTCATTTAACACTCACATATCCATATACATTCAGATGTGGTATTTCACACAAAGAATATGTTAAGGATAACTAACTTGCTTATGTGAAGACAAAATATTGAATTACCAAATATTTCCAACTTTGCCTAACTGCTTATATTTTTTAAAAAGATTTGAATATTTTAAAAATTATTTTCAAGCTATTTTCTTAGAATAGTGTTAGGTTCACTGCAAATTTGAAGGAAAAGTAGAGAGATTTCTTATATACCTCCTGCTCTCACAACTGTGTAGCCTCCCCCATTATCAGCATCCCCCACCAGAGTGGTACAGTTGTTACTACTGATGAACCTACAATGACACATCATTGTCACCCAAAGTCCTGAGTTTACATTACAGTTCTCTCTTGGTCCCTCTACTTTTTAAATCTTTATTTGCTGTTCTTCCTTAAATTCTCGAGGAGTTAAATTAGATCATCGATGTTCAGAATTTTTATAGTGAATGGCAGATGAGGCAACTAAGTTTCACATGCTTATTTCCCAAATGTAGAATTCAGGTGGGTGGTATTATTAGAGGGGGAAAAAAAAAAGCTCCTGAAATGGGGACATATTAGAAATATTTTATGTAATATTTTTGTATGATGTTAATTCTAATCTAAATTAGTCAAGCCTAAATAATATTTCTATACTATTATGTGCATTTAAGACCATAAATTCCCTTCTAAGCAGGCATTAACCAAATCTTACAAGTTTTAGATATATAAAATATCTTCTAATTTCCACTGTAATTTTATCTTTTGTTCATGGGTTATTTAGAAGTATATTTTAAATTTTCCAAACATACATCCATTTTGTAGTTATATTTTTGTTATAGATTTCGAGGTCAATTACACTGTGTACAGAGACTATACAATATGTGGATTTAATCTCTGAAATTTATTGAAGCTTTTATTAGGCCTAACATATGTCGGTTTTTATAAATGTTCCATATGCACTTGAAATATATTTGTGTTCTTGCAGTTGGGTACGATGTTCCATACATCTATTAAACATGTTTAAATTTCCTATATCTTTATGGAATTTTTGTCTACTTATTGTATCAGTTACTGAGAGAGGTATGTTAAGAATCATCCACTATGATTTTGAATTTATATATTTAGTCTAACAATTCTAATAATTTTGTGTTATATATTTTGAAGCTACGTTAGTTATATAGTACTGATATAACAATACCAGCTTTCTCTAGGTTAGTATTGGCATAGTACATATTTTTATATCTTTTTACTTTCAATCTTTTGTACCCATAGGGTTTAGGCATTACTCTGTCTTAAGTTGCCCCTTTGAAGAGAATGAATCTTTATTCCTTTGGCTGCCCCTAAGTTTTTCTCTTTGGTTTCCAGCTTTATTGTAATGTGCATAGATATGGTTTCCTTTGTTTTTATTTTGATAAATACAAATGATGCTTTTGTAAAACAAGTCTTAATGCCTTCTACTCATTTTGGTAAATTCTCAGATGTTATGTGTTCAAATATTGCTCCTCTCTCTTTTCCTGTGGCACTACAATTAACATTATATGTTTTACTTTTTCACTCATGTTCTAGTTGATTAATACATACCTGGAAATTCTGCTTCTTAACTTTTTAATATAAAGAAATAATGAGATATGCACACAAAAGATTTATGTTTAAAGATTTCCAATAATATGGTTTTAATAAATTACAGTATATCTGTACAGCAGATTGTTTGCAGCCATAAATTATGATGTAGAATATTTAATAATATAGAAACATGATATATTAAAGGGGAAATAGATTATAAAATATGATCCCAATTTTTTAAAAAATGCATAGAAAAAGACAAAAAGTATATCAAAATATAAAGTTATTATCTCTGGATGATAAGATTTTGACTAATTTTTAGAGGTTTCTTGTTTATTTTTTGCTTCTCTGTATGATGTAATTTTCTCAGTGATAAAATGTATTATAAAGGGAACAAAAATTATTTTTAAAAGTCTGATTAAATTACTAAAACTCCACTTTATCAGGCATATATCTATTTTGTAAAGGAATATATACTTATTCTAGACTTTATAATGCTTGGCTTAGAAGTAGATGTAGCCAGTGGAATTAGGCATAATTTTATAAACACAAATAAAGATAAGACAAAATTTTAGGTCTTCAGCAATATCAAATGTAATTATTCATGTTACAAAGGGACTCTTCACAAAAGTTTCTTCACAGTGTTTCTTCAACGTGGGTATAAATAGCCTGCATTACAGTAATCAAAGATGCCCACTAAAATATTTTTTCAGAAGTCTGAAGGCAGTTGCTACTACCAGTACCATAGGTAAAATTGCAAAGAACTATAATTTTGTTATCATTTCTCTTTTGCTTCTTATTTTTTCTTCCCACAGACCCTCTTATATTTTTCAGATATCTTTTCTTAGCCTCTTCCACATAATTTCTAAGTACTCAGTCTTATGTTACTTTCTAAGTATCTGAATCTCTTTTTCTATTTCTTACTTCCCCCACAAATCAAAATTTCATTTCATGTTGTAATTTTTCTCAGGAAAGCATTAAAACACTAAAGCCAATCATATTATCTTATTAAGTATTTCTCTGTAAGGTATAAAGGACTGATTATTTGGTTTTCTAGAATAACGCTACTGCTATGATATCTAATAATTTACTACTAGTAGTATTACCTCTACCAACTGTTGTTTTGGGGAAAAAATAATGGGTTGTAAGCCAAGAGCTTAATGGCTTATAGATTTCTACTTGGCCAGAATGCTTAGCAATTTCTGATTTAAAAATAGTGAGGAACAGTATGGCAGAATCCTTAAGAACTTGAACTGTAGAGCATTTCCTGAGTTCAAAGTCCAGCCTTCCTAATGTGACCTTGAAAAGTATTATCTATGCTCTTTTACTGCTTGTAACTTTTGAAAGATAGAACCATATAAGGTAGGCTTACCTTTGATATAATTCTCCTGTGATTTATATTTTTAGATTACATGTGAAAATGAAGTTATACAAACACAAGTCCATGCTGATAGTCGATCTAATGATGTAACTTCAGTACCTACTCACTGTAAAGAAGGCCCAGTGCATAAAAGTGCACAAATTTCTCTGAAAAGGCCCCCTCACTGTAGTGTGGGTATGTTTTGACTCTTCAATGGATTGATCAATTGAATTGATCTTTGTATATGAAAGATATATGAAAAGCTAAGTCTAATTCATAGGTAATTGTATTTTTTCTCTTTCAGGTATTCAGGCCAAAGTGAAAGTGTTTGGGAAACAGCTGTGTAATGCAGCTACTCAGACTGATGAATTATGGTCTAGAACTTCTTCTGTTTTTGACATTTGCTCCAGTGACTCAGAAACAGATTCAGACTGGGATATCAAGAGTGAACAGAGTGAATTGTCTTATGTAGCTGTGCAAGTGAAAGAAGAGACCTATTAAAAGCACACCAAACGATTTGATGTGCTATAGGTTTTCAAATCTTGGCTCACATAATTATCTCTTTGCTCTTGCAAATCTTTCACTTCAAGATAGTTTGACAGTTGAGTATCAACAAAATTTGTTTAGCTCTAAGGCAAAATTTTACCTGACTGCCAAGATAATGAAAATAATCCTGCCTACAACTCTCACCCCTTCCTTTCACCTTTTTTTTTTTTTAATCTTTTTAGTGGAAATCAGGCTATAAAATAAAATCGCAATAGCAACATTCCCAGAAGAAGATTAAGCTTTGAATATTGAAGCTTAGTTCAGAAGCAACACTCAAATAGGTCTTATTTGACATTCATGAGTTAGAATGTCATTCTTCTAAATAATTTGAAGATAAAGAGCAATAATAGTGAGCACAACTAAGTCTGATACTATTAAATGATTTGGGTAAAGCCAGGACATTTACCCTTGATTATTGTCTATTTTATTTATTTATTAGTTTGTCCATTTATAATACTATTAGATCTATGGATCATCCCTATGAGCATTTCTAGTGAAGTAATGGCTTTTATAGAAAATGTTCAAGGGGAATCAATTTAAATATAATTTCATATACTTAGATTACCTTGTTAATGAAATCTATTTGCATTAGTTCCTATTATAACAAATTAGCTTGATTAATTCAGATTGAAATTGTTAACATGCAAAAAAAAGTATTATATTTCTAATACTTTTATATCCCCATTTTAAGAATTAGGTTTTCCTCTATCAGTACCACTCTACTGAATTCTACATTTGGGAAATAAGCATGTGAAACTCAGTTGACCCATCTGCTCTTCACCAGGAAACTTTCTATGGCAATTTTTACCATGAAGTAATTTGTAAAAATGGTTTCTGAGAAACTTATAATTATAACTCTGGTCTTCTATGGAAAATAATAAAAATAAATGTCCATTTTACACCTCACATGTCTTGTTAGTTCTGCATGGTTGGAAGAACCTGCATGCATTTTATCCTCGAAGGTTTAAATAATACACCAAAGTGATTTCCTTCCAAAGCTAATTTCATGTCTGACTTCATTTTAATACAAATAATAATAAAATAAACAAAATATTAATAGAAGTTGTGAGCCTGGACAATGATTGTGTAAACACATAGCATTATTATTAATGCTGCTTTGGCTTGAATTTAAGTTGACTGTTTAATGTTTTAAGAGAGCATCATGTTTTAAAATTAAGATGTAAATCTTCTGAAGCTAAATATTATCAGTAACTACTTGTTCTTTGAGATGTGAAGCAGCCTATCTCCTTAATGCAAACCATAATGAATGTTACATGCCCCTCATCCCCAAATTTCACTGCCATGAGTTTACTTCATTTCTACATGTTATACAACTTTAACAGCCCTAACAGCACTTTATTGATTGATTGATTGATTAATTTTTTTACTATTCAGTTAGGTTTTTTCCCCTCTTACCAATTGAGAATACATAGTTTGTTGATTCATATGATTTTATAATGTATTGTGTAATGTTTTACTGTTGTAAAGTAAAACAAAACACTGGCTTTATTTTAAATATAGGATACTTATAGTTTATAAAGTACTGTTTATGCATAACATATTGTTATCTTAATTTATTTTACTACCAGACGCGTTTAATGGGGAAAAAGTTAGATTTACCTCAGTACCTCTTATATCATTCTTCATTTGTTTATTCAATAAAAACTTATTAAACATAGTTTGTGCCAGGCAAACTATTCTAGACACTAGGGATACATTGGCAAACAAGGTATACAAAGATCCTGCCCTCTTGGCTCTTATCTTTTAGTGGGGAGCCAGACAATGAGCTCAAGGAAATGAATGAATAATTTCAGATAGTGACTAGTACTTTGAAGAAAGTAAAGCAGAATAAGATGTTAGAACATAATTGAGATGGGAGAGAGGGTTTGCTCTTTAAGGTTAATCAGAAAAGGCCTCTTCAAGGAGACAATATATGATCAGAGAACTGAATGATCAGAAGGAGCAACCATGTAACTATCTGAGAGAAGAGCATTCCAAATAACAGGAACAGCAAATGCTCTGGTATTTAAGGAAGGGTAAGAAGCTAGGATATCTGAAGATAATGAACTAGGAAGAGAATGATAAGAGATGAGATTGGAGCCGTGTACAGGACCAGACCATGTAAAGCAGCGGTCCCCAACCTTTCTGACACCAGGGACTGTTGCTCTTAGGAGAATCTAATGCCTGTTGATCTGAGGTGTAGCTGAGGCAGTGTTGCTAGCACTGGAGAGTGGCTGCAAATACAGATGAAGCCTCTCTCACTCACCCACCACTCACCTCCTGCTGTGGGGCTCTGTTCCTAATGGGCCACGGACCAGTACCAGTCTGAGGCCTGGGGGTTGGAGACCCCTGGTGTAAGGCATTTGAGGTCACAATCAAGAATTTTAGTTTATTCTATGTTTAAATTCTATTTTAAATATTCTATGGATGGTTTATCTAGCAGTATTTATTTTTTATACTTAAACTTAATTTTAAACTTAATTGGATACACAAGTAAAAACCATTGGGCTTTAGGTGAGAGAAGAGAGACATGTCAAGAGTGTGTGAATGTAAAGTTTGTTCCATTAAAAATATTCTATGGGAATTCTGGAGAGCTGATGGTGGTGAGGGCGTCATTTTTTTTTTTTTTTAATCTTCCTAAATTTCCCCAAGAAAACAGAACAGTTCCTATTCTTTTAGTGATGAGGAAGCTTGTGTCAAATTAACCCTCCCATGGTTAACATGTATAAATTTTGGGAAAAATATACGAAACAACTTTGAGAGATCTTGGGGTATCAAAAGCTGGTAGAAATAGAGAATCAACCTTGAGAGAGGTGAACTGCAGTGGACGAGATATACTTTATGCATTTTTCTACCTGAGTGTACTCTCCATTCCATACTGTGAAGGGCAGCAGAAAACTGTAGTTTTACTGGCCTGAGGAGTCAGAGGTGAAAAATTAAGGGCTATTAGAGTGAAAAATGATGGGGCAAATCATGGAAAAGTGGAAACCACTCAGGAGAGAGACCAAAAGCTGCTTATGAATTCTACCTAAATTTTTGACTAATCACTGAACTACACATGTATTGCGTGGAGAGACCTCAAAGGGCCCAGTAGAAAGCAGCAGTTGGAAGCTTTAGTTTAGCTGCTACTCATCTTAGTAGAAACCAAATTTGGAGTTTGAGTCCATCCAAATTAACTGGCTGTTAGAACAAAATCTATCATGCTTTGGAAGAAGGTAGCAGAATTCATCTTCCAAAATGTCCAGTATAAAATTAAAAAATATTAGTCATGTGGAGAAATTAGAAAGTGTGATCCATAATCAAGACAAAAAGGAATCAGTAAAAACCAACCCCAAGATGACCAGAAGCTGGAATTAGCAGGCAAGAACTTTAAAGGAGCTATTATAAATATGTTAAAAGAGGAAAATATAGCAATAATGAATAAAGAGGTAGGGAATCAGCATAGGAGAGGAAACTAAAAAAGAAGCAAAATGGAAATTCTAGAACTGAAAAGAGATAGGCTATCAAAACTAATACAAGAAGAAACAGAAAATCTGTTAGCTCTGTATCTATTAAAGAAATTGAATTTGTAATTATCCTTTCACAAAGAAAATTCTAGGCCCGGATGACTTCACTTAAAAATTCTATCAAACACACAAGAAAAAAAATGCATGTTACACAGCTCTTTCAAGAGGAAAGGACTAGGGAACACTTTCCATTTCATGTTATGTGTTAAGCATTACCTTATTACCAAAACTAGCCAAAGACTGAAGAAGAGAAATTACAAACCAATATCCTTTGTGAACATAGATGCAAATATCCTTAACAAACTATTAGCAAACATATCCTGCAATATAGTAGAAGAACAATACATCATGTCCAAATATAATTTAGCTTAGTAATGCAAGGTTGGCTTCAAATTAAAAAATCAGTCAATGCAATTCGCATCAAAAGAATAGGGGAGACAACTCCAATGATCATCTTATTAGATTTAAAACAGTTGACAAAAATCGACATCTATTTATGATAAAAATTTTCAGCAAAGTAGGAATAGAAGGAACTTACTTTCTCAACCTAATAAATTGCAGCCATGAATAAATTGCCAATTATAGAATAGCTGATATTCAAGGGCTGAAAGCTTTACACCCAAGATAGGAACAGGAAAAGGACTCCATTCTTCAACACTTCTATTCAACATTGTACTGGAGATCCTAATTAGTGCAATAAAGACCATAATTCATAGAAGTTTAAAAGAAAGATAAACTGTCATTTTTTTATAGACATGATTGTGTACACAGAAATGCCTATAGATTCTACAGAAAAACTACTAGAACCAATAAGGGAATATAGTAAAGTCAATATACAAAAATTAACTGTATTTTTATATATTAGCAGTGAACCATTGGAAAGTAAAATAAAAATTCAATACCATTTTCGATACAAAAATGCAAAAGATTTAGAATAACCTAGTGTTGGAGAGAGAGAGAGCAATTGGAACTCATACATGGCTGACAGGAATGTAAAATATTATAATCACTTTGGAAAACAGTTTGGCAAACTTTCACAAAGGTAAGATACCCATATCGTTCAACCAAGCAATTCCCCTCCAAGAGAAATTAAAATATATGTCCACACAAAGACTTTTGCACAAATGTTCATAAGAACCAAAACCTGAAAACAACCCATATGTTCATCGACACATGAATGAATGTGCAAATAAATTGTATATCCAAAAAAAAGTGTATCCAAACAATGCAATTCTCTTAGCAATAAAATAGAACAAATTTATACAGAACAACATGGATGAATTTTGAAAACGTGTCGAGTGAAAAAATCCTGACTCAAATACAAGTACATACCCCATATTTCTATTTATATGAAATTCTAGAAAAGAGAAAATTTATCTATAGTGACAGAAAGAAAATCAGTGGTTGCTTAGGACTAGGGCAGGGAAACGCTACACACAAAGGGGCAGAAGGAAATGTTTGCGGTTGACAGGAATGTTTTACATCCGAAGTGATGATGGTTACATTGGTGCATACAATTGTAGTTGTATGTAAATTATATGTTTATACAATTGACTAAAGAAAGGGGCAATATATGCTAATTGCTGAATGACTAGTACAAGCGATAAATCCTGTAGTTTTTTAAAGGTAGGCTTTGCAGAAGAGGCAAAATTGTAATGACTCTTTAATGAGAGATAGGATATAGATATGCTATGCTAAAAAAAGGAGCTGAAGGCAAAGAAAAAGCCAACACAGTCATGAATGCAGAAAAAGTAGAGAGTGAGAGGGCTAGAGGGATAGTGGTATCACTGGATTAAAGGCAGAGCTCTAAAACAAGAGTTGTGGGAGATTCAGATGGAGAGGGAAGAAAAAGCTAGAGGCAGAATGTTGTCAGAACAGTCTTTATTCTTTGGACACTAATGACCTTTTGAGATTTTTGAGCAGGAAAGTATGTTAGGCAAATGAATCTGGAGTAATGTGCAGGGAGAATTGGAAAGGAGAGAATTATTAGGTTTAAGATGGCAGACTCTTGCTTGACAAGAGTCTTGGCTTGACAAGATATAAGATTGAGCTTGAGTGCGGAAAGGTAAACAATGAAGGAGATATTGAGGAGGAAGAATTGACTGGACACGATTAATTTCGAAAAATAGATTTGCAAACAAGGAAAAAGTACATGGTGATTGAGTTTTCAAGCCTGGGTAACTAAAAATGACAGTACAGTAGAAATAAGAAGGAGCCAATTTGGAGAGAAAGATACTGATTTCATTTTTAGGAGTCAGTTGTCTGAGGAACTTATCTGACCCTACCCTTGCCTCTCTCTCAAGACTGGATGAAATGTCACTGCGTATACTAAAGCATGTCACGCTTAGCCCATCATAGCATTTATCATCTTGCGTTATAAGTGACTGTTTACCAATCTACTCTACTAGCCTCTGTGAAACTTGAAAGCGAGGACTGTCTTTCACTAGTATTCCCATGTGCCATGCACAGTTCTAAGGGTCTCCGGGTTTTGCATATGTGTTTGGCACATAGTAAGTGCTTGTAAGTATTTGCTAAAAACATACTAAATTTTGAGTT